GCTGGTCATCCAAGTCTACCTAGGTGAACCACAACGCGAAGTCGGAGTCGTGAAGGGGATCCAACTCCGGTGGGGGAAACAACACCAGTATCAGGTTTGCACTGTTTAAGTGCGGATGGGTGTCGACTCCCACACCAGTCTGCAGGGGGTCACCGTGACCGTGGAAGACACGATATCCCTCACCAAGATTTTCCTACCCGACAACATACACCTCATGGGGTTGAAGTGCACCCCTGAGAGATTATCAGAAAAACAATTGGAAACTATCTCGTAATAGTAATATAGCAATGACCAATCATCGTCCCAACGTCACGCTTAGCGACCTAGGAGCCACAGAGGGGTTCGATTGGCCCGACGTGAGCGGCGCCGTGTACGTCCTGCACTTTGGAGGCAACGTGTATAAGCTGATGTCTCTAGCAGACTTTAAGGAACCCGAATGGTTGATCAACGTGACCCTCACCGCACCTTACATCTCGTTAGACAAAGATAGGTATGTCTCCGAAATTAGGAACAACGGTATCTTGCTTAGGGCTTTCATTCCCGGGGCCTGGTATAAGTGCTCAACTAACACCGGATCACACGAGCAACATGTTAGTTTCATACTGGAAGGATGAGTTAAGGTTTGACGTCCCCGATTCCCAATTGGGGCTTATGACTGTGAAACCAGGATCCACACTCGTCATAGAAGTCCATCTCGGGATAAGCCCTTATAGTACAGAACTACAACTTTTACCCGGGGTGACAATACACTGGAGTCTCCTGACCAGTAACCGACGTTACCATATCGTCATACGACCGGAACCCTCAACGGGTTATATAGTCCTCTTAGTAAGCCCCCATGGGGTTCGTGTGGATGCAGAGTTACCTATTAGCCTCTCACCTACTTCCCTGCACAAGGATCTAAACCTTATAAGCCTCAAGTACATTGATCGCCTATTAAATGAAGCCCAATTAAAAAATATCTCATAAGATATATTATATGCACACAGGATGGGGCTGTACCCAGTCGTAGAGGAAGTAGCGAAGACACTGGAAACCGTAGACGGGTTCTGCTTGAGACAGTTATGCGACATAAAACACCAACTAGAACAAGACCGCGACAGACAGGTAGCATTGTACAAGAAGTACCATAGGGCTTTCAATGCCGTGGACGGGGTTGAAACCACCCTAATGGCAACCAGCATGGGACTAGGGGCGGTAGGTGTCGGGTTGTTGACCACCATCGTGGCCGCACCCATAGTGCTAGGCATCGAAATAACAGCTGGGGTGTCAGGGTTGGCTGGATTGGTGTTTAAATTTGTGTCACGCAGACTGCATCGTAAGGCATTGAAACACGACGAGATCAGGATCCTAGCCGATGCAAAGTTAAACACCATAGACGACCATATTTCCACCACACTCACTGACAATAAAATCTCAGAGGAAGAGTTTCGTTTGGTCCTCTCTGAACTCACAAAATATCACGAAATGAAACGAGAGATTCAAAACAAGTCTCGTAAGACTGCCGTCAGCGAAGACGAGAAAAAAAAGTACATAGAACAGGGGATACAACAAGCCCAGCAAGCCTTCATTACGAAAACCAAAGAAATCATAGGAGATTCACGTTAAACTGTTTTGCTGAGATCAACATCATGTAGGGCAGCCACGGGCTGCCGTCAGAGAGGAATCACGGCACAATGTTACCCCCCAAGCAAAATATTTAACACTTACCTTGTCGAGTGATCCCAATAGTATCCTGTAACCAACTGTTTCCTGTCAACACGACATAGAGCTATCGTGTCACGTGATCAGGAAAGTGTTGGTTCGCGGTCATAGTGACCAGGAAGTTAACTGGGGGTTCAAACCTGGTATATACAATAGCGGAAAGAGATAAGGGCCTGACAAAAGCTTTATTTCATAAATGAAGCTTTACAGAGTCTTTTGTTGGACTTGATCTCGTACCCCCAGTGTATATACTACTAGACATTACGTGAACGTTTGCAGTCCTTTCAGACTCTTGACTTCAGTATCTAGTGTGACCACCACAAGCGGCAATAACTGCAGCACAGCTTCTATGCATGGAATGCACCAATCGATTGATGAAGGCCATTGGCACCTGGAACCACACTGGTGCAATAAATCGACTGTGTTCGGCCTTGGTATGACATTATCCAGATTGTAAAACTTTCAAAGACTGTCAATTTTTCATGATATATCCATGTCTCCATGTAAAGACTGAGAATTCTCAGAATGAATAAAAATGTCTTACCAACCACCACTTGTCATTTTTGTACTTCTGTAGGCAGAGTGGGAAGACACCGTAGAACAGGTCAGTTCATTAACCAACTAACTGGTCAAGTTCATTTTAGCAAGGGTAGAACAGGTCAGATCGGTGTATTCCCCTTCACTTCACTTCCTGATCACTGGACCGTATCATGTTGTTTTAACCTGTAGGCAGTTTGGAACTGTAGACAGTATGGGAACACTAGGTTTCTTAATTAGACTGTTGGCTGGAAACATAAATCGCTCTGGATCAGTGGCCCTTTAACTGTTGTGTGAAGTGAGATACATTGAAAATGGCCACTAAAAAATCAGCCTGTGAACATTTCTTGTCCAAACAAATGTATGTATTTTTTAAGAAACTTGCTTGATGTAATTTTTAAAAGATGAAAAAATATGCAAAAACCTCAGAAGCCAGCTGAAAACTTGAACTGATTATGAACACGAATAGGGCTTCTTATTCTGAACTATATATATATACTGTTATACTGACTACTTATTTCTCAATGTGTTAACTGTAAGAAGACAGTCTTTTGTAGGTTACACAAAACCAAATATTTTCCCATTGACTTCTATAGTAACAATTTTAAAAATTAACTGAGATATCAACAGCTATTACATGTACATGTGTGCATAGTCTGGCCTTAAAGAAGCAATAGAAATATGAACACCCCAGGGTGTTCCTTTTCCGAGTACAGGAAGCAAAACAGATCAACTCCAGTTCTGCACTAAATATCAACTGCTTGAAAATACATTTGGTCACATTCACTATAAGTCATCAGTAAAAAAAGACAGCACTAGATATTAAAAAATAGGGTCAGTTTTAATTACTGGATGGATGTACATTTAAAAATCACAAAATTCTTACACAAAATCACCCAATCACAGCTGTTAGATGATTCAGTCTGCACTGAAGAATTGGGAAAAAAGTGCTTGGATTAAATACAAATTCTGATTTGGTATAGTGTAACCTGTAGGAAAATTTGGAAACATCTCTACTAGTCAAATCTGTGATTTATGTACTGTATATACATGCAGCTTCTCAGAAAAAAAATGAAAATTGGATGAAGCTTTCATATTTTTCCTTTTCCAGCATGTCTGATTGAAAATACATTTGGTCACATTCACTATAAGTCATCAGTAAAAAAAGACAGCCCTAGATATTAAAAAATATGGTCAGTTTTAATTACTGGATGGATGTACATTTAAAAAACACAAAATTCTTACACAAAATCACCCAATCACAGCTGTCAGACTAAATTATATGCAGGCTATATCAAATTAGGGATATGAATTGGTCAAAACAGCTAGAACAAACAAACCACATGAAATATAAGCCATTGTTTTGTCCCTAGCATTTTGAAAGACCTTTTCACTGGAGCAGATCATGTCAGCCTGCTAGGGGTGATCTTCTAATACCATCACATTATTCTGTCTGCAGAATGTTACTCAGGACATAAAGCTACTACATGATTTGGGGTCCCTGGTTATCACCCTGTCTATCCTTTTCATCTTGCCTCCTTCCAGGGAAAAGTGGGGTGTCTGTTGCATGGTCGGGCACAATTTATACCAATCAACAGGCTCAGATCTTATCAGTTAACACTTAGTCCATGTGTTTTTATGGTTGTCTACCTTACTTATGTAGCAGGGCGTGGAGTCACATGAGGATGAAGCTCTTCACACAGGAAAAGTAGGCTGTGTGTTGTTTCATCAGCTAATCCAGTCCTCAGTAATAGTACTGGTAGACAACCTAAGTGATAGCAATTCACTCAAAGGCAAGGAATTCCATTGTGGAATACGAATAGAAGTATTTTTCTCTTGTTCAATTTTGGTTAGTACCATTAGTTGTGACAAACATGTAATTTTGGTTTTCAACGTAGCCATGGAGGCATGTATCATTGTGTCATGGAGTGAACATGCTGCCTGTTTAATGAAGGCTTTTGTTAGTTTTTATCTTGCCTTTCTTTAATGTTGCATAACATTTCTGATCTTGCATGATATTTCTGCACCTGTTACAACATAAAATATTCAACGCTACATGGACAAACTCATGGTCATTGATGGTTGATGGGCTCATACTTACCTCAAAACCATATTTCCTTGCCATAAGTTTTAAAAAATAGTAGGCTGCTGCCTTTATTTCTGTTTACAATTATAGATTATATGATTTAGTTATTACACATGACCTGGTTTATCTGCTCGTAATATCAGTCCATGAAAGTATAGTACATATGTGATTTTATCACTAGCTTGTAGCTGGTATGTTGCCTTACCTGCCTGATGCTGCACTGTACACATGTATATAACAAAGATCCATTTCATGCACAATACACAACAGTCACTGAGCTTCTCCCATGTCATTTTCATAAACCTTGTACTAATCTACCCATTATGTACTGAGGTTAGCTTGCTTAGGCCATGTACAACAGGACAGACAATCTGACATCACATCATAGAATTTTCATGTTTGACATTGAACTTGAAGTGGTTTGTTTTGTTGAGTACAGTTACCAAGTAGTTTCAACAAATAGATCTCTTTGATGATCAGAGATGACCCAGCAATCTGACAATTTATCAGTCATCCATGTGCATACTGTATATTATGTGCACACTGTGATATATGACTCATATAAAATGGGATATGTGTATGCCACTCAGCGTTGTAGAATTACAGAATATATGTTCATATCTATTGTATGAAATGTCGGTAAACACTAATGAGTTATTTTGTCCTGTCACAGCCTGGGGAAATTTGGCCAATGTTTGGAATGAGCAGGGCCAGACATCTGCTGCTGAAGAAGCACCGTAATGCCCTTAAGCACAGAGGCAACATGGCTGATGTACACTACAACCTGTAAGTAGAACATGGATCATTCCTGTCAATCACCTGGTTGCATTCCTTTAGTCATTCCAGTATCTCCTTGTCAGGTATCGAGTACCAGATTTGCCAAAATGTTTCTCCTGGGACAATCAGCATCATTTTCCTTGCTCATTTACCAAATGTAATTTATTTAATATTCATAACCTGTATCACAAATGGGCTGTACCTGACATACAGTTCAAGGTTGATAAGCCCTCCACATTCACTGTCAAAACACTTTGTTGTTTAGCCACATATTGTTTTTGTCTCAGTTTGGGTCAATTGAACCATGGCAGGGCCTGTTTTAGAAGATGCCACTAGTCTTTTCAAGTACTTTGTACTGAGAAAGAAAGTTCACTTGACAGTCCATTATAATTTCTCCTGTACCGTATACATTTTTAGCTTAAATTGTGTACGACTGGTGAACCTATGTCATGACCTGTTTGTCATCCACCTAGCAGCATATTCTCTTCAGAAACCACCCAACCAGTGAAGCCAAAACTTTGAATTCTTGTTAATTCTTGATAAGACACATACTGCAAGCCAGACATTTTGAATACCAGGTCTGCATATTTTTATTGTTTTCCCTGTCTCTTGTCAATCACATTAGTTTAAAGACTTCAGTGATAATATTGATTTCATTTGATTTATCAAAATTGACAATAGGAGGTTTGTTGGTTTGGATATGTCTGACAGTTTAAAGGGGTCTATTCCAAAGACATTTTTGTAATTATAATTTTCCATAATGTCTCTATGTACTGGGTCATACCATGAATGGACTTTTCAGAGACTAAACAAATCTATAATTGCTTGGAGTTTCACAACACAAGTAAAAAATCTTATCACCCATCACTGACATGCTATTGAAAGTGTATGTGACTGGAATAAATAGTTCGCACCCACCACGGTCTCTCTCCAAAGACACACCCTGCCATTACCAGCTTATCAATGTTATCGTTACATTTTTCACCCGAAAGGCCAAGTTTTTAGAAAACATCCCTTGCCTTATCACAGTTAAAGTTAATGGCTCACCATGACAGAAAACCTATCTATATATTACTGAGGCCGAACTATTCCGCGACCTGCAGGTTAACTCTCTTGTCAGCCAAGTTACCATTCATGTCAAGGCTAACCATTACTTCACAAGTACTTGAAGAAACAATTTAAACTAAAATGTGTTTAGTGTTATGATTCAGATGAAGTTTGGTATTAGTGTGACCTGCTTACATTTTTGTGGCTCGTTCACATTGTTTTGTGATATTTAACACAGCTTCAACCTTTGAATTTTTTGGCTGTGTCTGCCAAATCCCAGTTATGCATGTAGATATGTTTTTTTCAGTGTACTTGCTTTGAGGATGACACCTGTGTTGAAATGTCTGTTGTTTCAATTGGTCAGATTCTTTGCACTTAATTTGCAGGCCCTATTTTGGTGACTAATTTGGTCATAGTAATGATTCAGTTTTGTCTTTTGTGACTGATTTGTTTGTGCCAGTTGTCTGTTGGTGCCTTGTCTAAAATCAATTTTAGCATTTGTACAAGGTTCATTGGAAGATACTATTACGTCTAAACAGTAAAAACTTCTGCCAGTTATTGTGTCCCCAAAATACATATTATTTGGAAAGAAAGCCACTTATTAAGCTGCACGTGTAGAGACAACATTTCAAGCGATGTTGCGGCACACATTATTACAAGTATCATTACAAAAGGCTACAGCACCGGCACACACTTCAGGTGCAACTCAGCACAGCCAGGTTTGTTCCACCAGCCATTTCACCCCTCGGTATGAAGCATGAATATTGAACAATATTACATGATGGTTTCTTAAAAAACTTTTTCCATGATCAATCATAAAACGTCAGATTTCAGATCCTGTTGGGTTCAGAGGTTTCAGGACCATGTGTCTTATTTATGTTCTGTGCACTTATCCCAATTTCGAGTCCATATCAACATCTTGGAGACAAGAGCAGTCTTATTAGCCATCCAGCTCTGGGCACTAATCCAAGGAACTCCGCACTCCTAGTTGCCACAGACAATGTCATGGTAGCTGCCTATATCTCCAGACTCAGATGTTGCCATTCCTCATCCATCTTATTTGAGAACTTTATGATCTTGTGGAAAGTCTAGATTACAACATTTTGGCCAGACTCATCCCAGGGAAGATCACCATAACCTGCAGATGCTGTATCACAACCGGACAAGGATCTGTTTGGAACATCCCTCAACAATCAGTTGCCAATTTATATGAGTATTGTTTCAGATCGCAATCACCCAGAGCTTACAACTTCTTCTTTATATTACTATAAATAGGATCGATTCCAGTAGTAGAGAATCAGATCAGGACCAGACAATGGACCTGTATCAATTCAGATGATTACAGAAATTTTGCTTCATCTTCAGAAAAGATTACAACTTCTCGATGGGACCATAGAAGGTTATCGCTCGACAAAAGCATCTGTTCTCTCCAAACAAGGGATAAATATTAAAAAGTATCCAGTTCTTATCAGCATGTTATGATCATTTGAACTAGAGGATAACCCAGTGCATAACTACAAAATGGGAATTGTCAGTTATCTTATCAGGTTTATTACATCATCCATTTAAACCTATGGAAAAAAACAATTACCGTAGATAAGCCGACCCCAAAGATAAGCTGACCCCCAAACTTGACCCTTAAAATCAGTGTCAAAATGTTATATTTTTCCTTATCCTGACTCATGCTCTTTTTGCTTGTCTTCTTCTTCTTGCGAACATAGTGGAACACTTGTATCTCCCTAATTGAAGCTCCCTTCAATTTAAAATCACTAATCAATACTCACCAAGAGTTGCCTCTCTTTGCCCCTTTTGGCGGGAAAGGTGGCGCCACCACATCCCACATGCTTCACTCTCCTCCTTCGCCCAGTGAGCAGGATGTGAGAGCACCTGTGTCTCCCTACGGCACTATATCCTTTGATTATTCTTACTTAGTTACCTCTACAAGTCTCTTATAGAGTTTTAGCTAGTATCCTTCAACAATATGGTTTGATATTTATTCGTATTTACTCGTATTTACTGCTGTTTATTCGCGGTTTACGCCGTGATTGTTCAGTAGATTACGTTGATGAAAATCTGTACTGTTTGCAAGTTACGTTTTTCTGCTGCTGATCCGCATTTAATATGCCCTAGCTGTACTGTACCATGTGCTTTCAGTTCACGTTGCAGTTTCTGTATTAATTTATCTAATTCTGCTTTTAACAAATATTTACTTTGCGTCCTGAGCTGCGCAGCAGATAGGTCACGTAAACAGAGTCTAGGCATGGCTAATGCTACTGAACCCCCCGCAAGTCAACTGCTGTCGGACGACCCCCTCACGTCTGGTATTCCGCTGGAGTTACCCTCGGAGGAGAGGCATGGGACGCAGTCCGCCGTCTCCAAGAAGCGTCCTGCATCACCAGACCTCCTGTTGTCGCAGCCTAAGACTAAGAGGGCATCTACGTAACAACGCAGACTCCGCACCCCCAGGGCAGCGTCTACTACCAAGGGGAAAACAACGCAGTCAGCAAGAACTTTCTCAGCCGAGATTGTTCCCGCCGCAGAACAGGGCCTGTATGATGAGCAGCCGATCATCATACCTGATGTTCATCGCAAGAAACAACTGGTGTCAGCTACAGTGACGTCAGCGCAGATCCTCAATCAGCCCGATGTATCAACGCTGAGGACTGACGATCTTCCCATGGGTCCCGTCGCTACCAACGCAGATAGGGCAGCTACTACAACTTCGCAGACCGCCCCGGGCAACCTGGTTCAACAGATTATGAAGTTGATGGAAGACCGCTACGGACTGGAGAAGAAACAACCAGCCCAGGACCTGCTTCACCGCAGACGTCACCCCTGAGGGACCCCCCGTCAACGTAGCGGCTGCTACCAAGTCACCACTGTGGGACCAGCCTGCGCGAAGGACGTCACAGTCTACCTCTGCGAAGGACCCAGGCGATCAGCGTTCGCGAAGGACTTCGCGAAGGACACCTAGATTGTCACCAGCCTCGGACTTTGATGATCAACGTTCGCGAAGGCGTTTGCGAAGAAGGATCCTCTCATCCCCGGACTCTGCCTCGGACCACCAGCCTTCGCGAAGGTCAAGTCGTCACTCCCCAGGACCGGACTCAGATGAAGCTTCGCGAAGGACTCCAGTTACAGACTCCAAGTCATCTTCGTCTCTAAGGTCATCGAGGGATTCCCCAAGAGCTTCGCGAAGCTATCGTCGTTCACCACGACGTAGATCTCTGCAAAGGTCACCTTACAGACGCAGCTCGTCAGGCCGTTCTCCACGTCGATCTCCTCGCCGTTCTCCATGTCGATCGCCTCGCTGTTCACCTCGTCGATCGCCTCATAGGTCTCCACATAGATCACCACGCAGGACACCTCATAGATCACCACGTCGCTCGCCTCATAAGCCTCCGCGAAAGTCTCCAGTCATGTCTCCTCATACGTCGCCATGCACAGTTGTTCAAGTATACAGAACTCCATCTCAGTCACCATCGGAAGAGTATCATTGGCCTCTTACCAACGCTCCGGATACCGAAGATGATGGAGGCATCATGTTCTCCGACGCAGAGATACGCTACTGGATGGCCAACAACCTGGACCTGGCTTCGCCGTCTAAAGACAACAACCCGGCTCACACCTATCTCATGAGGGAGGACGACGCAGACACGATCACCCTACCTCCGATTGACCCTATAGCAACGGTTCCACAGAACTTGGATACAGCTTTCCAAACAGCCACTAAAGCTCAGGCGCAGCACTTACCTCAGTTCAACGCCAAGAAGTTCTTTGCTCATAACATGGACCCATTCTACAAAGCTCAAGAAATCGACGATAACTTTAAAGTCATCAACGATGCCAAGGCCAAGACGTACAAGAGGATCGCAAGCTGGCTCAAGTCGAAACTATGACCAGAAGAATGTTTTTCGGCCTCAACAGATCCAGAACTATTAATGAAACTCTCATCACTAGAT